CACGTCCGCGCGATGCAGCAAGGGCGCTTAACTTCGCGCTTCGCGCTGCGCGGATCGCGAATAACTTCGCGCTGCGCGCCGCACCACAGGGAGAAGAGGAGGATGAGGAGGAACAGGCGCCGAACGGCGGAGCGCGAATCACTTCGCGCCCTCGAGGGCGTCTCTGGCGATGCCGAGGTGTATGTGTGTACAGCCAACCCGTATCAGAAGGATGCGCGGTAAGGATGCAAGGGCCTTGGAAGGCCATGTTGACACCTTGCGAGGGGGGCGCGGCCAGCGCAAGCGGCCAAGGATGGGCCGAAAGGGCAAGGATGCAAGGGTACCCTCGTGGAGGTTGCCCATCCTTCTCGTGCGGGTTGCCTGCAGTCGGTGCCCTCCGACGCCTCGCTGGCCAGGCTCGCGGGCGCAGGCTCCGCAACGGCGCCGTCGAAGGCGGCGGCGCGGGCCTCAGGCTCGGCCGCAGTGCCGGCAGCGCCCGCAGCCGAGCCGTGGGCGGCCTGCCCCTCGGAGTGGACGGCGCCCACGCGCGGCGCCTCGGCCGCGCTGGCGGGGCTCGCGTGCGCAGGCTCCACGGCGGCGCCGCCAGGGCCAGGGGCGGCGGCGGGGTCCTGCGAGGGTCGATGACGATGACAATGACGATGACGACGAGGACGATGGCGTCATCGTCATCGTCACCATCAGGGCTCGAGATCAGGTCATTCGGGAGTGAGCTGGGCAGCTTCGGCGAAGGAGCTGGCGCACGCAACTTCTCGTATCTGTTCGGTGACTTCGCGTGGATCCTGTTCAGAGTCAGAATGCGAATCGTCATCACTTCCTCGCCTGCTCGCTTGCGTTCTTGCTCGCTTTCAAACTTATATGGTGCCTTGCCTGCTTGATGGCTGTCTAGCTTGAGACGCTGCTCGCTGTGTTTGCTTCACTTGTCTCTTGAGTGCTTGACTGCATGATTGATGAGGTCTGTGCTTCTTTGCTTGCGTACTTACGCGTGTGCCTGCTGACGCGCTGGACTTCTCCCGGGGTGCGCTCTAACTCGACTTTCGCGGATGATCCCGCCGTGGTGACGAGGTCTCTCCAGGACGAGCAGCGGTATCGGCACCTTGTCCGCTCGCTGTCCCCATCGCGGCAGCACGGGGGCCAATACTGTTCTCCGAGGAGCAAAGATGAGCGTAAACGTAGTTTCTCGGAGGTCCGCGCGGAGTTCTTCGATCGGCGCTGGACCACCTTCCACGGCGGCGCCTCCAGCGCCGCTCCTGGCGCGCTCCGCGCGCCAGGGAGGGGGGCCCAGCGCCGATGCAAGAGATTACCGCGAAGCTTCGAGGTATCATGCTCTTCTTTGTCTTCTGTGATTGCCCCAAAAGGCGCCCCCACCACCGACGGCAGCACCCGTGGGACTCCCTGGCAGGCGGGATGCCGGGACTGTGGGGTGAGGGTGAGATCTCGGCGGCCTTTGAGGCTGGCGCTCGACCGTGGGCCGCTCCCCAAAACGTCACCCCCAGTCGCGGCACCCATTCGACAAGTCTGCCTCACAAACGTGATGGTCGGGGGTGGGGGTCATTTTGGGTTGCGAGTTTGGGCCCCCCTCCCGACTTCTGCGACAGCTCATGGGAGCCTCCCACACCATCTTGTTGGCTCTTGCGAATCGACACCAATCGACGCAAAGTCGACGCTGAATCGACGCTGATCGACGATAAACCAGCGCAACCTCATCGATCACTCGACGCTAGTCGAAGCTATTGCACTCGGAGATCGAAATGACGAGGGCACGGAAGACTCCCACGATTTGCTGCCGAACTCCCCCCTGTGGTGACCAGGGGTGGGGGTCTCCTCTGGGGCTGCGACTTTGGCCCCTCCCCCGCCGGTGGCTCCGCAGCTGTGGCAGCGGTGCTCTCGGCCGAGCCGGTGGCGGCCTGCCCCTGGGGGCGGATGGCGCCCACGCCGGGCTCGGCCTCGCTGGCCTGGCTCGCGCGGCTCGCAAGTTCCGCGGCGGTGCCCGTGGAGGCGGCGGCAGGGACCTGCTGGCTCTGCCGCCGGTGCGAGGGGGGGTCATCCTCCCCCTCGTCCGCTTCCTGCTCCTCCTCCTCCTCCTCCTCCTCCTCCTCCTCCTCCTCCTCCTCCTCCACCACCTCCTCCTCCTCCTCCTCCTCCTCCTCCTCCTCCTCCTCCTCCTCCTCCTCTCCTCCTCCTCCTCCTCCTCCTCCTCCTCCCTCCTCCTCCTCCTCCTCCTCCTCCTCCTCCTCCTCCTCCCTCCTCCTCCTCTCCTCCTCCTCCTCCTCCTCCTCCTCCTCCTCCTCCTCCTCCTCCTCCTCCTCCTCCTCCTCCTCCTCCTCCTCCCTCCTCCTCCTCCTCCTCCTCCTCCTCCTCCTCCTCCTCCCTCCTCCTCCTCCTCCTCCTCCTCTCTCCTCCTCCTCCTCCTCCTCCTCCTCCTCCTCCTCCTCCTCCTCCTCCTCCTCCCCTCTCCCCCTCCCCTCCCCTTCCTCCTCTTCCCCTCCTCCTCCTCCTCCTCCTCCTCCTCCTCCTCCGCCTCCGCCTCCGCCTCCGCCTCCTACTCCTGCTCCTCCTCCTGCTCCTCCTCCTGCTCCTCCTCCTGCTCCTCCTCCTGCTCCTCCTCCTCCTCCTGCGCCTCCTGCGCCTCCTGCTCCGCTGGACTCGCAGGTCATCCAGCAGGGGCTGGTCCAGCGGGGCCGCAAAAGTTTGGCGCGCAGGGTGGAGGCCTGCAATCAAGGGGCGCAGGGCGGTGGCCCACCCTGACGGCACGATCGAGCATGAAGTGGACGTGCTGGGTCAGCCTCTGGTCAGTGGCGTGGTGCAGGAGGCCCGGCGCAAGGATAAGGGCACAAAGCAAAATAAGTTCGACGCCTGCCGCCTTCGCGCGGCGAAGGCGAAGCTCCAAGAGCTGGATGAGAAGCTACAAAAGATCGCGGAAGGCACCCTGGAGGCGAAGTGCAAGGCGGAGATCATCATGAAGGCACCCCTGGCCAAGGTCAAGAAGACCGCCGAGGCCCGCGGAACGTTGAGGAGCAGCTGACGGAGGGGGAGGCATTTGTTCACAACACACTTCAGGAGGAGAAGACGCAGGACAAGTTCTGAAAGCTCGAGGTGATGGAGCCTGAACCCATCGACCCAGACGTGCTGAAGATGATCGAGGGGCGGGCCTCGACCGCGTCAAGCGTAAGATCGAGAACGGCTTCAACAATGGTACGTGACGGTGTGGGAGGCGGAACCACTGGTCAAGGGCCCCCCCTTGGCACTCATCACGTTCGCGGGCGCCTGAGGTGCCAAGTTTTGGCTTCAGCTCTAGCATGGGGCCGCTTGTCTGTTGCGCTGGCCCGTAGGCGTTCCTTCAGATTCCTCGTTCGAATTTGCCTGCTCATCTCCTTCAAGCTCGAGGAGGGGGAGACGAGGGGAGGAGAGGACGGGAGGAGGAGGAAGAGCAGGAAGAGGAGGAGGAGGAGGAGGAAGGAGGAGGAGGAGGAGGTGGAGGAGGAGGAGGAGGATAAGGAGGAGGAGGAGGACCAGGAGGAGGAGGAGGAGGAGGGGGATGATGATGATGAGGAGGGGGGATGATGATGATGAGGATGATGATGAGGATGATGATGAGGAGGAGGAGGAGGAAGACGATATGGAAGAGGAGGACGAGGAGGAGGAGGAAGAAGAGGAGGAGGAACACAATGTAATAAAATGGAATGGACGCCCACTAGGGGAGTACACCGCAATAACTCATCTCAGCTCAAACAATACATTTGGATACGAAACGGGGAGGGGGTGGTGCGAGAGGAAACCCCTTCAGGTGACACCCGAAAGCTATCCCCTGGATTGGGCATCTCGAGTGCCTTCCCGCGCTCGAATTCTCTCAACCAAAGCTTTCATACGTTACTCATCGGAGGGGGTCGCCTCTGACGCCGAAAAACTCGTTCGAACAATCGTGGCAGTAGAGGTCTCTGGGGGTTCTGGCGGGACACGGCGCAGCCTCGATACAGGAAGCACCTTGCCCAACGCCTGGGCCACGCGACGGTTGGGGCACCGACCTTGCCCCACCATGGCCAGGACCCCCATGCCTTTACGAGTCGGGGACAGACAAGGGCGGCCTAGCTTCTCAGGCATAGCTAGGGACCAACCACCACACTTCATGCACATTATCGTTTGTTCTCGAAGGGTGCAGACAGCAGAATCGCACCCAGCTTCTCGAGCCAGTCCAGTCGTGGCGGTGAAAGAATTGCCGAGGGGGTTCGAGAGCAATCTACTGATGTGACTGGACACGCCGTTACAACCATCTGAGGGGAATCCGTCTGGTGATCCTTCCGCCACCAGCAGAAAAAAAGTATGCACTGCAATCCGAAGCCCCTTTGCTGCCAAACGTGCCAAGTGGTCTGCCGCCTTGAGCGGCCCGGTCGAAAACGCATCGGCCCCTTCCACCTTGCCTGATTGGGGAACAGCGGGGGGATATGCGCATCTGATTTCATGAAACTCCGAGCACGGGTGGCTGCACGATTCACGCTGGAAAGGAAATCTAGATCTGGCGGAAGGTGGAGGGGCGGCGCTACTTTTGCTTGTCTAACAACGGCCGCGTTAGCCGTGGCAAGTCAACGATCGAGTCCCTCGAACTGCGCCATGTCTCTTCGGTCCTGTGGGCGTTCACATGGCGCGCTGTGTGCATGAGAGGCGTCCCCTCCAATCCCTACGCAAAAAGCCTGGCACCTGCAAGCTTGTCGGGTGCCGCTAGCTGCCTCGAAATACCTTGTTGGGCTATGGCGATGGCGGCCTCGCAGTCCGAAGCTACCTTCGCTGGCCTGCTCGCGACTTGGCCGCAGATCGCGATCCCTACGCGTTCTGCCATAGCGGGTGTCTGCGGCAGAGTGCCAGGAACTATCCCGCGCAAGGAAGCTACTGGATCCCCCCCAACGTCGGGGCAGACTCCGATGGACAAGGGAACTCTCCCCAACGGTCTCAGCAACGGTTTGCTTCCTGATCCACCCGAGGCTAAGCGACGCGGCGCATTAATCGTGAGCGAGGGTATCGTTTCAGGGTCAAGCTCTAGTGAGTTGCCGCGCTGATCCAACACCTCAGCCCCCGGCAAAACCGACGGGCGCGGAAACTCACTATCTTGATGCGTGAAACTGCCCGTGGTGAAAATCAGGTTGTCGGGCTCCTTTTAGGCCGCACGCATAAACTCTGGCGGTGATTCCGCCGCCTCTCTAGCTCCCAAGGCTTTCGGTAGCTGACAGCAGTAGGGCCTGTGGTGGATTGCGCCCCTCTCTCCACACTCGCAGAGCCCGTCGCGCAGGCACCCCGCCCTCTCAGCGCGACCGTTGGCCCACAATCCTTGGCAGCCACAGCTCCTGACTAGATACTTCTGTAATCCACTGAAGCGCTTGGCTTTCGGACCGACAGCTTTTCGGACCAGGTCAAGCGCGGCGCGAGTCCCAGGGGCGAAGCCCAGGGTCCAAGCAAAATTCGCGCTGTCTGTGCACTCCTAGCTCTAGCTGGTCCTTTAAGAAGGACGGCGGGGTCTGAGTTGAATCGACGTCGGGATCATTGCGGCCCACCCATTTGACGGGTCCACGACGCTTCCAGCCCGCACGTGCCGAGCACAAACAAGCACGAGACACTGAGCCCCTGGACCCTCGCCATGATTTGCGCAGACCGGGTTGGCAGAGCTCCCAGGGGTGGACGAGTTCGCCCGCCCCGATGAGGGCGCGCTCTGGGCGAGTCGCAGCTGTCCAGAACCAGCCCGCGCCACTGGAGCGCGCGCGCCACAGCAAATCTCGTGCTACGATCTCCTTTTGAGAGCTTATCTTGCTGTGAGTGATACCCCTCCGCGCGAGGGAGAAACCGAACTGCCCGTGGGCCTCCTGGGCGACCTCCACGCAGCTTCGGAGAGCCCCTGGCCCTTCGCCCCGGAGCTGCTGGCAGGGGCAACTCCCTGACGGTGATTCTCTAAAAGGGGGCCTCCTTGGGGCCTCTAGGAAACCTCCCCTCCCCGCTCGCACCTTGCGGACTCGCGTCCTCGTCGCTTCGAAACGCGACTGCTGCTTCAGACGGGCTCGAGGTCGATGGCGCACAGTTCCAGCAGACTCGCCCACTCCCAAGAAAGGGGCGCTCGCCCTGATAACCGACGTTGGAAGCTCAAGCTGATCACATACTGCCGTCGCCAGTGCCGCGTGGGTCGGTATTATGCTTAGCTCGTATGCGTTCAGCGTCGCTTTGATCGACTTGCTGGCCTCGAAGCATTGCTGGGCGCCTTCTACTGCCGCTTTTCTCGCCATGTCGAAGAGGAAGGACGAGTTGTGGAGGCCCGAGTCGTCTAATCTATCGTCGGCGACTTCTGAACCGTCGCACGCACAGCGCCCGCTGAATTTACTTTCGCAGCCAAATCGGCGCAAGCGTCTCCTGCTGGGAGTCCAGGGAGTCCAATTTCTGGCGAACAAGACCTCGTTCGCGCGATGTCTACCGAGCCGTATCACTCGTGGGCTCAACCGCGCTTTGAAAACTAATGCCAGCCAATATCTTGGAGCGCCGTGACGCAGAAGATTGCTTCGTCGAATATCTAGCGGGATCGTCTCGTTGTACTTGAACCAGTCGGCGATGCACACTATGCCATATCTGCGCGTCGCTTGGTCGGACTCGGAGCGGACAGCTTGAGCCCGGGCACAGTTTATCGCCGATCGGCCTTTGGATGCCCCAGTATCCTCGATCGGGACACTGATGAATCTGTTGAACCATCGGCCTCCGAGCTCTCTGCCTCGTCCTGCACGCGCCAACATATGCTATGATCAATGTGTTGCCTCCGCTCGGCTTGCCCAAGAGATGCATCTGAATCCATCGCAATTGCTTCGGAGGAATTCCCGTGGCCTCAGAAGCTTCCCAGATTGTGGACAACGCTTCCAATCCGTCGTCGTCTATCATCGCGGAATGTCGAGGGTGAAAGTTGCGCAGGCTTGCTGATGTGCTGGCTGAGAATGATGTGGGCACTGAGCGTATGTCCTCGGGGTCGAGAAGAGGGCAGCTGCTTCCG